TCATCAAAAAGTTAAAAGGGCCAAGATCTGTATTGAGGGAACCAATAATTTCATTGGAAGGGTAAACCAAAAGTTTTCAAGCCAAATTTGGGTTCAAAATGAGATTTCGAGATGATGGTCCTCTCAAAAGGGTTTCCGATTGTTATAAAACTGTTGTTCAGACACTCTTGTTCATGTTTAAAAAAGAAAAAAGTTGAGAACGGCCACATACGGGGTCAGGGATCCCGTGAAAAAGGCCGAGTCGGCCATTTCAGGCCAAATTTGGGTTCAAAATGAAATTTCGAGATGATGGTCCTCTCAAAAGGGTTTCCGATTGTTATAAAACTGTTGTTCAGGCACTCTTGTTCATGTTTAAGAAAGAAAAAAGTTGAGAACGGTTACATACGAAGTCAGGGATCCCGTGGAAAAAGCCATGTCGGCCCTTTTCAGGCCAAATTTGGGTTCAAAATGAAATTTCGAGATGATGGTCCTCTCAAAAGGGTTTCCGATTGTTATAAAACTGTTGTTCAGGCACTCTTGTTCATGTTTAAGAAAGAAAAAAGTTGAGAACGGTCACATACGAAGTCAGGGATCCCGTGGAAAAAGCCATGTCGGCCCTTTTCAGGCCAAATTTGGGTTCAAAATGAAATTTCGAAATGATGGTCAACCCAAAAACATCTCAAATTGAAATAAAAATCAATAATAGACATCTATGAGTGAAATGGAAACAAAGATTGGAATGGATCTGTGAAAAAAATGAGCCGTCCGGCATCATGGACTTCACCCACTTGGCCGCCGCAAGACCACGATTGCGCGCCTTCAGGGGCGATTTTTTTCGAAATGATGGTCCACCTAGGATTTTTTTCAAACTAGTACCAGCTTGTACAACTTCTCATAAGGTATCTTTTTGAGAAGTTAGGAAGAATGGATCTCCTGGCTCAAGCTCATGGTGGTCGAAAAAAACTGACTCGGCAGACACAAAAAAAGTACCGTAACTCAAAAATTTTTTTCGACCGTAACCCAAGATGGTATGTACTGTAAAAAGTTTCTTTGAAATTGGATTACCTATCGATTGATATATCACTCGCCTAGTAAAAAAACTCTTCAATACTGAGATACGCAGGTGCCCACCTGCCTACCGTAACCCGGCTACAGTAAGAGGGAATGGCTCAAAAAGTTGGGTCCGCATTTCTGATGATGGGGTATCACACTGGGTGAAGTTTCATCCAAATCAAAAAATATTTTTTTTATTGTACCCGTTGTTTTTGAGAATAACGGAGACAGCGTGCTAAATTTCTCATGACCTGTACCTATATCCCATTTAAAAACTTTTCAAGCTTCTCAATTCCTACAGTATCCTTTCTGAACTTATCAAGAATCACCGTAAACCCTTTATTTCCGTTAAAAACCAGTCATCGTCCAATTTAAGTTAAATCTGAGATTCCCTTTTTTTACCGCTTTCAACTTTTTCATATTTGAAGTATTTTTCTTAAAACATTTAAAAAAATACATATCCTTTCTAAACCTCTCAGAATATCACCGTTCGACTATCACCCTCATAAAAAAATCTGTCAACTGGCAAAAATCAATCTTCAATACAGCTAAAATCTGCAAGCCTCTTACTTCAACTTGTCATTAAAAAGCTTCAAAAAAATTCTAACTGTGCAAAAACTACATTATCCTCTCCAAGAACTGCCTGAAGATTACCGTAAACCTTCCTTCCATGAAAAGGCGGTTAATTAGCGGAAATCAAGCATCAATAAAGCTGAAACCTCCTGAAAGCTTCCAACTTCCTCTTATGAATAAACAGCTATCAAATTAAAATTGTCTCAAAACTACAGTATCCTCTCCAAAAACTCTCTGAGAATCACCGTAAGCCGTCCTTTCCATAAAAGGCCACCCAGCTTCTACAGCGTACGCCATAAAGCTTCAGAAAGCCAATTAAAGGCGAAACTTGGCGGGGTTTGGGAACGGAGATCTTCAAAGCTTCCGAAACCTTGGAGAATTTGTTGGGAGGGGGCTAAAAAATGAGCTGAGAACGGGCCGATACGGCGTTCGAGATAGCGGCGTCGTTCTTCACCCCGGCCCTGCGCTCTCCGCTTTTTCCACACTGTTTCCCATTTCACGGTAGTTTGTTCTGTTGCCAGCCGACGATTTTTCAACTCACACCCAAGGTGTTGGGGTCGCGGCTCGTTTGATCTCGGCTCAATTGGTTTTCCGCGCGGTGTTCGGTAAATGGTTCCGAAATTCTCAAGTTTAAGGGTTCAGAGAAAATCTTCTTCTTTCCTCAAAAATTTCCGAATTATTCCAAAAATAGGTTCAGGTTGAGTCCGAGTAACTAATTGAGTTATTGGTAATTCCAAATTCCAAATTTCAAGTGGTCAAGGACGAAAAATTCACTGAAGCTGTTCTCTAAGGACAAACTTTATAAAATGGATTTCAAAAAAATTATTTTCCGAAAAATCAAGATCTCAAATTGTCCATGGAGCGGAGAAGCTCAGAAAAATCAGCTTTTTTGAATGTTTTTTTTTTTCAAAGGATGAACTCAAAACTTTTCTCCAAAGGTTTCCTCGTCCAAATATTCATTAAATACCGATGCATCAATAAAATTTTTTTTTAAAATTTCAATGACTTCAAGAAAAAAAACCCCGGAAACCTCCTCCCAACACATTCAAACCATCATAAAATCGGAAGTGATTTCAAAATATTTGAAAAAAGTAGGTTGAATCCAGCGAAAAGAGGCAAAATACTCTTTTCATCTCGCCGCCAGCCGCCTTTCGGCATGCAAATTCGACCCCTCCGGCCAAAATTTACGATCTACTAATTGCACCTGTTCGGCTAATCAAAGGGCCTAGTTCAACAGGAGAAAATATCAATGATTTCCAGTTTGAATTTTGGAGCAACCGGATTGAGTAAAATGTTCGGAAATTTCAATTTCTACGCTTTGTTTTGAATGAGATGGAACTTGAACCGGTTTCAAACAGATTTTTACCTTTTTGAGGGACTAAAAATTTATTTTTCCGAATTAACCTCATAAAAATGATCAAGTTAATCGTTTTTCTCATTCTTAAAGTCCTAGTTATCGTCTAAAAGAGAAACTGAACCACCTTGCAAAAATCATATACTCAAGGTACCATCGATAGACTTCAGACCCGTCAAAAATGCTTTTTTTTTCCAAAATTTTCTTCATTTTCCTATAAAATTATAACGCTTCACAATACCAAGGAAACCGAATTTTTTAAAATGCTTTCGATCAACTCAATCTGATTGAAACTTTCCATATACTCAGCGCAAGACAAAATTGTTCCGAAACCTCCAAAAAATTGCACTTTCCAACTGCCCCTTTTCCTCATCTAAAACTTATCACTTCCCTTTTTAATTTTCTTTTTCTCAAGCTCATTTCTTCGATTAATATAATCAGATTCCTCTCAAAATTCAACTCGAAACTAAGTTTTTTTTTAAATCAAAACATATACTCTTGCACTTTTCAACCGTCGTTCCCCCTTATTTCATCCTTCAAAACTGCTATCTTTACAACATTTTCCTCTTTCGAACTTTTTTCTTCGATTCTTTCAATCAGTTCATCCGTTTCCATATAATCGATTGAAAATGAACTTCTTCCCGAATTTCATAAATTTTGCCCTTTCCAACTGTTCTTCCCTCTTGTTTCAACCTCCAAACTGCCCTCTTTTCAACTTCTCATCTATAAAACTCATCCTTTTTTCGATTGATCCAATCAAGTTATACCTCTCATTAACCGACTCAAAACAGAATTCTTTTTGAATCTCAAAAATTGCCCTATTCAAAATACTTTCCCCTCTCATTTCAACCTTCCAAACTGCATTCTTTTGATTTTACTTTTTCTCAAGCTCATTACTCCGATCAATTCAATATTATTCACCTCTCAACACTCAACCCAAAACAGCTCTCCTCCCAAAACCCAAAAAGGATTGCACTTTTCAACCGTTGCCCCTCATTTCCCAAGCCTATCCGAAAAGTGCGCGTTCGTACCACCCAGCTCGCTCGAGGCGCAGAAAGATTGCAAAATATTCCTCATCCTTTTTTTTCATTCATTGAGAACCGAAGATGGTGCACCTGGCACCGGGAGCCGCTTCCCAGGCCTGCCCGATTCCGTCTTTCCTCCTTTTACAACCTCTACAAAAGCTTTCTGGCCGCCAAATACTGAGAAGAAAAAAAATTCTATTGTTCTCTCGTGGTTATTTCATGTTGACGATCTGTCGAATATCCGTCTCCCTTTTTTTTCTTTGAATGCTCCTCCAAATCTTCCCGCAGATGTTCCTTCTTGCCTCAGAAACCTTTCCGCAGTTTACTTTTCAAAAAATTCCTTTAAAAAGGCTCATAGGCTCCTTTTTTTCTTGACCTTTTTAGGCGGAAAAAGGTGGAAGAAGGAGATTCAGAAAAACTTTTGACACTTTTTTAGGAACTCAATAATAAGCTCTAGACTTAATTTTGAGGCCTTTTTGGACTTTGCCCGTTTCTCTAATTTTCCTCTATCTTCTATTTATGTTCTTTATTCTTTTTCTTCGACTACTCTTAATGCTTCGAGCTCTTACAAACCTTCCACTCTTTTTCGATTTTCGAGAAAAAAGTGTTGCGCGCTTTCAAGCCAATTTTTGGATACTGTAGTTTTCAAAATTCCAAACTTTTTATTTCACAGTGAAGAGCACACCTGGAGACATATTTCCCAAAAGTGATTAAAATGCGGTTCTATCCGGACGGCCAGCATGACCGGAAAAAAAACGTTCTTAACACAATAACTACCGTAATTCAAAAATTTCCACAGTAATCCAAGATGATTTGTGTTGTAAAAATTCTTAAAATTCGATTGCCTATCAATTGATATATAACTTGCTTGGTAAAAACTCTTCAACACTTAGATACACAGACTATGCCTTGCCTACCGTAACCCGGCTACGGTCGTAGATAATGCCTCAAAAAGTTGTGTCCGCATTTCTTATGATGGGCTCTTATACTGGATCAAGTTTCATTGGAATCAAAGAATGAAAATTTCTTCGTGGACCTACGAAACTTTCCATGCTATACTATACCGCGTATCCTTCATCATGGTGCTTTTCGTAAGAGCACCATGAGGAATTTTCTAATGTTTACAAATTCTTCGAGCTCAAATCTCCAGGTCAAACCGATCCTCATCAATAATAATTCGAAACGCCGAGAGGAGGAAGACGAACGGGAGCAGATGATTAGTGGGCCATTTCCGGGCCGCTTCGCAACGTTTTACGACCCGGTCCTCCGTTCTCGGCGTTGTTTCTCCATAGTGGCGGTCGCCTTTTGACACTTGTTACTGCCATTGTTCCTCCCGATGACGTGATATTATTGCCCCGTATTATTGCCAAACTCTGAGTCCAGCTGGCGCGCCTTTTCTGGCAGCTTTTTGAAAAACACGGAGGAAAAAAAAGAAAGTAGTACACGCATGTTTGAGACAGTACTACGGCGGTCCGTGGCCAGTCAATATTGCGCCGTCAGTTTCGGAGCCAGGAAATTTTTTTAATTTTCTTTCTTTTTTTCTTTTTTTTAAAGACCTATTTCTCGAGGTTACAAGGTAAGTTACGTCACAAAAAAAGTACACAAGATTTCATTTAATTATTGAGAAACCTATCCAAACTACCGTAATTAGACCACCTTAAACAAGCGTGAGTACTAAAGCAGAGAAATGAAACAGCAGTCAGAACCTGAACTATAGAAAATAATCTCTGTTTAGCTTTATGGAGAACGAGAAACGTATGGTACTTTGTTCAATTTAAAAAGGTATTTTTTTCAAACAATTTTCAAGGTTTTTTTCAGCACGGTCCAAGTCCAAAAAGACCTGCTTTTGAGAAAAAAGGCTTCCAAAACGCACAGAGGCCTCTTTTTATTGATCTTCTCGGAAAAAGGATTTTTTGAGGAGGAAAAGGACGCGGAAAAAAGATAATTACTAGAAATTTTTTTTAGGAATCCAATAGAAGCTCTAAACTCTTCTCTTCGAGGCCCGGGAGGCCTCTTTCCTTCTAAAAATTCGCGATTTTAAGCTTGCCCATGGTACATTCAAAAAAGTCGGGTTCAAAAATTTCAAACTGATCTTTTTTTCGTTCAAAATGATGTCGCGAAATACACAAAATTGGAGAAAAATCCATGGTCAAACTTGTCGAAATCGCGACTTTTCAACGAAAAAAAAAGCTCAGGAAACCTCAAAATTTGCTCTTTTTTATTTGAAAAAAAAATTCACCCGTTTTAAAAAGTGATAAGTATTTTTTTAATTCAATCGTCCTCGGTTGAAATTTCCATTACTTCTTTAAAAAAATGTGGAAAAAAACTTTAACTGTGTAATGAAAAAAGGTCTCAATTTACAGCTGTTTAGGCCTAAATTTCATCTTTTCTGACTGATCAAAATAAAAAGAAGCTTGCTTTCAAATTAATGTTCGACTTGTCCGTAAAGCTCGTACTTTTCCCAATGTTCATAAGATATTTTTGAAAAAAGTGTCATAAATATGGACCACACAAGCTGATTGAAAACCTAAAAGGAACGACCAGAAAAAGTGACAAGTTGTAAATTTTTGGCGCTTTATTTTGATTGGCTCGGGGAAATCTAGGAGTTCTTGGAATCATTTAGATTTTCTTCTCTAGCTAAAAAAAAGGCTTAAAAAAGATCCCAGGGTACTCTAAAGTCTTCTAATTATTGATTTGCTTTTTTAAATTCCGGGAGGGTGGTAAAAGCTTGAAAAAAAGGAACTTCTAGAGTACCGGAACGAGGTTAATACTCCGTAATTACGGAACTTGGTCCAGGAGCTTTAAGGAAAAAGAGTGGTTCCTATAGGGGCCACATTAGGGCTCTTGAAGAGTCCCCTCTAAGGACCACTATACCGTCCCATATAGGGTCCACTGAAGCTTGCAAAAGCGGTCCCTATAGGGTTCCAAGTCAGTGACCCCAATAGGGGGAATGCTAGCCGATAATTGTTATGAACTTTCCATAGGAGAAACTGAATAAATGAGCGTTTTTTGAATGAAATTGAAATACCCCTATAGGGTCCACTCGAGGGTTTTAGACTCAAAAAGAAGCTTTCCCCCAGAAATCGTTCGTTTTCCCCTCTAATAACACTGTCGACCCGGGAAACCGACACATAAATCCACGGCGGCGGTTCGAGATTCACACGGGCGGCGAATGAAAAATTGGCGACGTCGCTTGAAAAATCGCTCCTTTTTCGGTGGCGGTGTGTTATCAGACCGCGGGTGTTTGATATCACGGAAAAAAAAAATCAACGTGACAAATGGCCTGGGAAAGCCCTTTTTTGTAGAAACAGTGATGATCTTTCGGAAGCGGCTTATCTCTGTTTCTTTGAGATTTTGTTCGGATAACGTATATTTTATGAAGTCAGCTCTTCTCTTTCATCTTGACTTTTTTCTGAGGATTTAACTCTTACTCGAAGCTTGAAAGCATCTTTTATTCAACCAAAAGCTCAAAAAACCCACAATCTATGCATCTCCGAACCAATTTTCATAGCTCCATGCCGATTTCTGTCACAATAACTTTTATAAAATCATCCTATTTTCCAAAAATCAACATTTCCCGATCAAAAACTTCCCTACCACCAAACTTTCTGAGCTTCTCCCCATCTCCCAATCCAACTCCATCTTCAAAGCCATCCGAGGTCCATCAAAACCCAGCAAAAAAACCGCAAATGAGCTCATTTTTGAGATCTTCTTTTTGAGCCGCGCAACTGGACAGCCACCAATCGGAGACGAAATTTTGGGCTTTTATTTATGGTCCCCTTCGCGGCACATTTTTTTTTTGCCAACCGGGAGTTGATCGGCCGCCTGTTGCACCTGTTCTTCGCGCGCGCCTCTTCCTACCGTAACCCTCAACCCCAAATTTCTTTGGATCGAGCCGCCGGTGCCGCTGGACATTTTTTTCTGTTTTTTGATTTCGCTCAGGCCATTGTTCTTTTGAGGCACTTGTTGTTTTGCACTTTGCTTAGCGGCAAACTTTTTTGTTCTCCTTAAAAGGTCAAGAGGAAGGTGATCGAAAGTTACATGGAATTCAAATAAGCTTTAAGGAAAAGCTCATAAGAATTATTTTGGTTTCTACAGGTCATTGTTCTTTTGTGGATCTTGTTGTTTTGCACTTTTTGTTTTGAATATTATTTTATGATGTGAGAGGCAAGGAATCTTTATTGAACGATCATAAGTCGCCCGAAACTTGAATTTTCTTTCCGAAAAGCAGCAAAGATTTTCAAAAACCTGAGATTCTATGATTCGTTCGACCGACATGTTTGAAGTGAAACAGTTTTTGGCAAAAACAAAAATTTTAACGCGAGTCGCGATTTCTACGCTTGGCAGTGAATCATGCTTCAAAATTCGTTTGATTTTTTGAATTTTCTTAAAATTGTGGCCAACCCCTTTTCTGAGATTTCAGCATTTTATTAGTTCCTACACAGGAGGTGTACGAATTAATGTAAAATAGTAATCTTCATAGAAAATCCCAAATTTTATATTTGAAAAAAAATGGAAGATTGATGTGAGTTCATTTTCATTATAGCTTCCTGTCAATAAATTTTTTAAATAAACTTTACAAGCCTTAAAACGTTAATAAAAAGTTGTAGCCAGCAAATCAGAGAAACAGTTCATTGGGGCGCACTTTTGAGTTTTTAAACGGTTATTTTCGCTTTCTTCTATCTCAAAGCCTTTTTCAAGTCGATGACTGGCTCCTCCAAAAGATCAAAACTGAACTTTTCGCCCAAAATTTCAAGGCGCGTGGCCATTCTGCATAAGGACATCTTGTAGAGCCGTTTATTCCACTGTAATCTCAGCAATAAAAAAAATAAGCAAGCGACGGAAAATGACGAAAGAACAAACGTACCCAGCGGGCACTCATCGAAATTATGACTAGCCAATCATGGTAAAAGTTCTCTGGAGCGCCCTTTCCAGAGCTCCAGAAGGCTATTTTCGCTGTCTCTTGTATGTCCCAGTAATCAGCTCCCGTTTCCAAGAAGCCTTTTTTTTTGGAAGGGATGATAAAACTTCAAGACGCGTCCTTCGCGTTACTGAGGCCCGGATAGCTAGAAGCCCTGTTCATTGGAGCGTATTTTAAAATCTGTACAAGGTTAATTCTTTTTTTTTCACACTGTCATATTTTCACAGTTGTCTTGAAAAAATTGGAACTCGGGCATTTTTCAGAGCCTTGACCATCCAATCAAAAGAGCTGCTAATTGAAGCACATCTTCAAGTCTGTGCGAGGCTATGTTCCCTTTGTTTTTCTTGCCTTTCAGCGTCTTGTTCAAGCTGTCATACTTTACAATGGCCTTCAAAACATTGGAACTCCAAGCCGTTCCAGCCAAGAGCATCTCGCTTTCCACTGTTTTCACAAAACAGTAAAAAAAAACAAGTGAAAAAAAATAAGTCCGAGAGAGCAATTGTGCCCTGCGGGCATTTGTCAGAGCGGCGTCTGGGGCCATCCGCGACGGCTGTACTTTCTCCGCCACCCGCGTTGATTTATATTGTTCTCACGACGACAGGTTCAGTCCAACGGCGGCGGGGCCTTTGATGTTTCGGGAGCCGCCACCGCCGTGTGGAAAATCGGAGGAAGACGAAGAAAACGAGGAACGTCGTCCTTTTGCCCGTGTCACACCTCCAGGCTTCTCCTCGAGAAGACCTTTCTTTTAGGAACATCATCATTGTTATCTCAGAAAGATACGACTGATAGTGGGTCCAGGTCGATAGAAATACTCTCCAACTTTTTTTCCTGAGGAAACTTCGAGCTTTTGCTCATCAAGTAGGACTGTTTGGTTTTGAATAGAAAACCAGACAGCTTCTGAAGTTATTCCAGCTTTCATCAACTTGTTTTTTTTTTTTTGAAGGCATTCAGCTATCTTTCACTTGAAGCTTTTCGTCGAAATTTTGATTTTGATGATAAAATCTTTTAGAAGTTTTTCAACTCATCTTTTTGATTTTATGTGTTTTCATGGACCTTTTTCTTTTTTCCTGCTTCCCTTCAGGCATTTTTCTCAAAATTAACCTTTCAGAACATCATAAGTTTCATCTTGGAAAGATAGGACTGATAACGTCTTGAGGTCAATTTAAACATCTTTGCAACTTTTTTCTGTGGAAAATTTGAAGTGTGGATCGAACTTGAGACCTTTGGACCGTAGACATCCACACCACCTGTTGCGCTACGGCGCACAGGACAACCGCAGAAAGGGGGGCTCTTTCTTATCAGTACGTTTTCATGTATCAATTTTAAGACTACGTTTCAAGTTAATTGAGTCTAACTTTTCTGATTGCCTTTTCTTTTTGTGTAAATCA